CAAAGTAGAGATTTAAAAAAGTGAGGGCAGGAATAATAACAGGGACAGGTGGAAAATAAGCTTCTTTTGCTTTTGAATAAGCAGATAATCTCAGAAGCAGCCTCTGCCCATACAAAACTTTTCCCAAAGCTGCCCCTAAAGGGAATGAAAACAGAGAAGAGAAATCAATGAATATTCTTTTGAGCATGAGAGTATGTTTCTCTTTCACCACAGTTGCTCTCCTAACAAATTACTTTTTCTCTTTAGCCTCAATTAGTGTGGTTACTTATTCATAACTGTTTTGTGAATAATTTCAACAATAACTCCCAGGAAAATTATATTAGCAAAAACAGAGCAAATTGATTGAAGAAAACAAGACTTGACTAAAGAAACACATAAGACTTTGTGTTTTGGGGCATCTGTAGCAGTGAGTATGCTGAGGGCCGGAGTAACATCAATAAATGGGAAGGAAACTTGTAAGCAGAAGAAAGAATTGTGTCTGTGTGACCCAGTGGTTATGACTAGACTTAATGTAGCACCTATGTGAATGTTTACTTTTGTTTTTGTATTTTGACTAAGATGACTATTTTTAAAAGTATTTGCAAACTATCTTAAGAGAGTTGGATTTTATCAAATATACTGGCCCAAAAGGGATCTGATTTGTAAAACTCTACCTTTGTCCACCACTGTTTGAAATCATGGTCATTTCTTTATTGCTTTGATTAATGGTGAAGTCTGTAGGGTGGTGACTTCTTTTCTGTCAGTTTACTTAAGTTCATACCTACAATTTTTTTTTTATATTTCCTTCTTTACTGGTCACTATGGGTGAGATTTGGTTTAATTGCTTAATTGTGTCATCCCAAAAGTCATTAACAATTGAAAGTTTAGTCTGTAGAGTGGCACTACTGGGAGGTGGTAGAATCTTTGAAAGGTGGGACATGGGGAAGTCTTTAGGTCTGTGTGGACAGGGCTCTCGAAGGAGATCGTAAGACCTCAGATATGTCTTATCTGTTCTTTATTCTTTGTGGCCCTCAAGTGAGCTGATTTGCTCTGGGATGTGTTTCTCAAGCCTGACATTCAGTATCCCAGCCAGAGACCTAGAACAAAGTATCTGCCTTATAATAGACTGGTGTTTCTAAAAACCATAGCCCAAAGTAAACCTTTTCTCTTTATGACTGTCTGAGGCATTTGTCACAGAGATGGAAAGATGAGGAACACAGAGGTCCTTAGGAATTGTAGGTATGAATTCACGGGATAGTTCACGTGGGACCCCCTGGGAATTCTTGTGCAAACTCTTGAGTTTTCACAAGAGAACTACTATAAAGTGAGCAAGCTTATTTTCCATCTGTCAATGCTCCGGGTTCAAGACGTCATCCCTCACCTGCTCCTGCAGCCACTCTTGCCATCTCTGTCTGCCATCACTGGATGAAGCCAGGAACTGACCCGATGCCCAAAACTCCCAGTGAATTAGCTGCCTTAGAATTCTTCTTGTCATTACACGAACCTGACTACTACATCTGTCCTGCAGTTAGCACAGTAATAAGCCTCTGCTTTACCACTCCATTTCTGGGCCTCTGATCATAAAAAGGCTGATGGATCAATATGCTACTTTTGATGTGCTTTTTCATTAGAGGTTTGCAGCCAGTGTATTAAAATGTAGTTGAGATATAGTCTTCTCTGAGTCTGGTTCCTGTGAAGTACTTCCCAGGGAGAGTAGAGTCCTTGGCAGTAAAGTTCCACACATGGAGGCTTTCATAAAAAAAGACAGGGAAGCGTCTCCTCCAGCAATTTTATGGGCATTTTCCTTTCAAAGGGATTAGAGGATGTTGGGCAGATGTTTATGGCTTCCTCCACAAACACTCTGAAGCACTGTCCTCAGTTGAATGTTTAATTCACATTTTGATGTGTGGCTATAGTTGTTGACTTAAGTCCAAAGTGTGTCTGGGGTCTGCCGGCAAATGGTTAAAAACAAGCTCCTTAGGGGCAGGAGACGGCCCTGAATTAGAGTGTCTTCAGCACTCTAAAGTGGTAATTCTCCCACCGATACCAACATAATGCTATCAAATCATGTCCCTGGACGTGGGATTTGTAAGGAGTGCATAGTAGCACGTTTTGCAGGGGTCCCACTACACAAATACAACATGCAGAAACAACCCCCAAGTATGGGTAATGATAAAATGAAGCAAACGAAGTAGGAAGTAATGAGTTTAGGGATTTTTATTATCTTTGCTTTTAATAAAACTTATTTGGTTATAAGTTTATAGCACCTGAAGGAGTTCAACAATTGCCTTGCAAAATTTCTGAAAATCAACTGGGTCTGACTTGCTGATCCCAAAGGTCTGGGACACCTGCTTTTCAGATCAAAGTGATTTTTTGTGGGTGTGAATGGTCACTTCTACAATGCCTCCCGTCCTTGGGGAAGCAATCCTTGCAGCTGTTATTTTTTTGTTGTTGTTGTTGTTGTTTTGAAAAACGGTCATTTTTCCAGAAGCATTCAACAAAGCAGAGCCGGCTGTGGCAGGCATGGTTCAGAGAGCAGACCACCTGGCTAAAGTGTTGGGAAAGTTTGGGGAAGGTCTCACCTCTCATCCTGGCTTCCACAGCTGTGAGCCAGTCCTCAGTTGTGTTTTATCATGCAAAGACATGGAAATTAGCCAGTGACATTTCAATAATTCTGCCTTGGAATTTAATTTAAAGAAGACACCATCTGTGTTCACTGTGCTATGTGCTGTGTATTTAACCTATTCTATTCATTCAAGGAAGTGGGAGTAGAATATCTGACCTCAGACCAGTAATGAGAGCATCTCACATTGTTCTTGCTTTAGGAGTACATTTTTAGTACTGTTTACTGAGGCGAAACTGTCTGGTAATATACTCATTCTTCATATAGTTACCTATATATGTAGGGTGTTGTGTCTGACAAAAGACAGTCAAAGAAAATTAGTCCATTCTTTCCTGGAGGCCACAGACTAGTGAGGAAGAAATTATAAATATAAGCCACAACTTATAGACAAATATAAAAACCACAATGTACCATTACAGCTACAATTAGTGGCATTTTGCCATGCTAGGGATTGAACCCAGGGCCTTGTGCATGCTGTGCAACTGCTCTGCCACTGCGCTAACCTCTAGCCCTATAACTAATATTTTCAGAGTCATATTCCTGAGGCAGGAGGTAGAGAGGAGAAACCTGTAATATCCTGATGACCAAAGGGAAATAGAGGAAGCTGGCTCTTTGAAAACCAGAGTGCCCAGCACTTACAGCCGGACCACAGCCAAGAAAGACGAGGTGGCGAATGTGCCATAGGCATCTTTCTTCTCTGGAAATGACCAAGCACACCCACCTCTAAGAGGATGCCATGCCTCAGGACAGATGGGCTATAGAATATCCTAAAGAGCCAAGGTGACCCCAACTCAGTTAGAATTCATCATGATCTCATCTGCATTGTGGTTTTGACCAGCCGCCCAACCAAACACAGAGTAGGCTTCGGGGGTCATGACAGTTCCTCAAAGGTCCATGTAGGGACAAAACTCCCCTAGGCAAAAAGGAGGAAACTCCTCCGGGTGGGAGTTAGCTGCTGAGCCAGTTCAAAGAGCTTCTCCTCCCTGTAAAATCCACTTGGGGACTCTGACCCCTGGCTTCTTTGGCTATGAGCTCTTCTCACCGACCTGCTCCCACAGGTCTATCCTGACTAAGACATCTGTGCGTTCACCTCTGCTTCTGTGTGTCCTGCCAGACTCTTTGTTTGGATGCCAAGAACCTAGGACACTCACAACCCCCAGTGACAACCCTACAATCTTAAAACGCTAAGGACAAGGACACTCTATCTCCTTTTCTGAGGCTAGGCCATGATCTTCCTGTGCCCCTCTGGTCTGTCCCACTCTGCCCTCTCCCCCTGCTGGGCAGTGCTCTCATCTTGAACTTTGCAGAGGGTTCTCTTTCTGGTCAAATGAGTGACTGCACATAGAACGCTCGGATGAGTGTCTGTCCCCAAACCCTCAGTAACTGTTAACTACAACCATCTCCATCACCATCAACCACCACCACCATCACCATCACCATCCGGTCTTCGTAGTCTCCCCCGCACCCTACTGTTCCTCCTCCTCCTTCATCATCTCTGTGGACTCACAGAAGCTTACATGTGCAGTTCCTCCTTTCGGATGGACGGGCATCTCGCCTGTAATGGATTACCTCCTGTAGCACAGAGCTTATCACCAACAAACAACATACTTGGCTTGGTTTAGAAGTCTCTTTAAACCTGAAAAGGAGATTTGGAGAAATTTAGAGTGATCTAAAATACTGTAGTTTTTCCAAATAATTATTTGGCAGTGTCCTCATTCTGAGATCTCCAAACAATTTGGGAATGTGTAGCTGTGCTTACTGATCTTTGTTAACATGGTGCAAATCCATCAGGTGTCTAAAGTGCACTGAGACATTGCACAATAAACTAGCTGTGCACTGAGAACTACGTCTAGGTAATCCATCTGAAACCAACGATCGAGTTCTTCAGCGTGCATGTGTGCCCTCTTCTGGCCATTGTGAAGAAACACAGCTGTTTTACAAAAACTAGTGTTTTCCGTGTATGGTTTCTACCGTTCCTTCATCCTGAGCAAATTTATTTTTCTCATTCTGTGTGTCAAGTATATATATGATACTAGTGTCTTTTGCATGATTAGTTTTTTACCCTTTGGTGTGCTTAAATTATTTTCTCATAAAATATCCAATGAAAAGAGTAAATCAAGCCAGAAAATGAATGACACACAAAAGTTTCTTATTTTTGAAAAAATATGGATAATAGTTCTTTAAACCAATTAAATATACTGTGATTGATAAAATAGCAAGGAATTTTAGAAATTGGGATTGCTGAAAATATTACGTAGTTCAGAACCATTTATTTAAAAGCCAAGAAAACAGAAGTTCTAAGACACTAACATGTAGTGTTAAATGACCTTTTCATTATACTTCAACCAAAGAACGAAAGATACAGTCAAGTTTTGTGTTTTATTTTTTTTCAGCTCTACAAAGGAATGACGTAAGAATGAATTTAAACTGAGCAGAGAGTGTATTTAGGATTCATTCACAAAGAAGTAAATAACAAAGCAAGGAATGGAGTGTGAATACCAGAGTGTGCATTGAGAAGCAAAACTGAGAAAAGCTGATCCAGACCTCTGTGAGACTGAAGATTTGGAATCCCTGGGAGAGAAAACGGCCACACTAATCCGGAGCTGGTGGAGTTCACACCAAAGAGGTAAGAGGCCTGTGATGTACGAAGCACTCAGTGGGGAATTGGGTAAGGGACAAAGTAATGCATGAGAGAAACCTGTAGATGAGCAAGAAAAGTACAGGATCACCCTGTCTGAAGGTGACCAAGCACGGGCTTTTCATGTCTTTTCAGAAAGAGGCACACAGCCAAGTGCGGGGAGCTCTGCAGACTCGCACTACTTTTGATCCGCAGTCAATTCTCCAGCCAGCATCTCCGCTGAATTTCCAAGTAGTGCAGGGGCCCAGTGCATGTTCTACAAGGAGAGCTGCAGGGGAGGTTGTTGGGATACAGAGAGGAATAAGTGTTCTAGCTCCTTTTTTTTCTGATTCTACACAACTTTTCCATAGTGAAGTAGGTTATATGGTTGTCTTTTTAGTTTTTGTTTTTGCTTTTATTTTTTTGCCAAGAAGATCAGGCAACTTCTGTTTTCTACCTTATGCCCAACAGCTGCTCCAGCAACCCGAGAGAATATGGTCTTATTCCCGTTTCTGGGCACTAATCAAAGAGCTTGGGTGGATATTGGGACAACTATGTTGGCCGAGGACTGTTTATCCCTTGGAACTTGTCCTTTTTGTTTCCTTTAATAATATCATCAAGAAGCTCATGAGTGCTCTATGTTGAATAGCTAGGCAGAGGATAAATTAATTCTAGATTCAATCAGGCCACTGTGCCCTCGTGCCTCAGAAGGAGTATTGGTGTCATTCTATAGGATGCATTTTATTTTATCTCTGCTGATGTGATTATAAAAGCCAGACAGAATGAAAACAGGCTTCTCTATATTATGAGCCAGTGTTTCACTAATGAGACAGGGCTGCAGATCATCACTCAGAATGACTGAGTTTTATTTTACCGATAACGTTACCCATGGATTGTCCAGTTTGTCAGCCCAGAGACACAGTGAGAAGGGAAGTGTTGCCAGCTGCAGATCCAGTGATTGACAAGAGCTGTGATAATAAAACAGCACAGGGAGGAGACTTTAAAGCTGCATTATAGCTTTTGAGCAGTAACTAAGGTGCTTCATAATGAAAATAAGCAATAAAAGTGGCTATGTTCACTGCACACTGTTTAGGAAATGAGAAGGAGTGTAATAAATTTTAGAAATATTTTCATCAAAGTATAAAGTAAACAAGTAAAGGAAGTAAAAGGAAAACTTTCTTAACTATGTAAAATTCATTTTTCTAAAAATTCTGACGATATGACAGCTCTGGATAAGCGAGGCTGAGCTACGGATACACAGCCGCCACCCAATATGAGAAACGGGGTTAAATATCCCAGAACACGGAGAGCAAGGGGCGATGAGAGCCCGATGAGAGCCGAGACCCCCAGGTGAGAGTCGGGAACGGGAACCCCGCGTTCAGCCTTTCTGCACACACCTGTTGAGCATGCGTTCCAGACCCCGGGCAGAGGGCCAGGTGGGACTCCCATTGGAGGACGAGGCCTCGGGGTTCCGCTCTTCAACTTCTGCTGCGGACAGCCTTACAGAGGATGAGTAGAGGAAGAGCAAGAAGAGGAGGCAAAGGAAAGCCCTAGAGTCTTAGCCTTCCCTAAAGACTGCTATCATTTTATTTATAAAAACGGGGAGAGGAAGCGTATCCAATAAACAACTCTGGAATGAATAAAGGCGCAAGAGGACAGAGTGAGACAAGCACTATGGTGAGCCATGCCCCCCGCTTTGCACACCTGTGAACTCTCAAGCGAGCCGCTGCCCCGCCAACCACCTCCTTCCCGGCAGAACAGAGGCCACGCCCACTATGAGAAGGGGCTGCAGCCGCCAGCCGCGAAGACCACAGCTCTGGGGGAACGTTGACGTCACCATTTTGGCCACAGATGCATTGTTTCGCTTCCTTTCTCTGAAGAGTGTGTGTCTCATTAGCGACCAGGTAACCCTATATGCCCGTGTACTCACACTCGGTCCAGAACTAGCTTTGGCTGTCACTGGTTCAATACCAGCCAGGGGCCGTGTTAATACCAACAAAGGGGACCTCACAATCACTGCGCCGCCATCTGTTTCAAGATAACAAAACTGTGGTTTCTTTTCTGCTCCAAAGAAGTATTAAAATTAATCCAGGAAAAACGAAAGGAATGAAAAGACAGGTCAGTTACAACCAAAGTCATTGTTCATATTCCTTTAGAATAATTCCATTATCCAGCCCTATTTTATCTAGCTTAAAGGCAATACGAGGGATAGATTTTCTTTTGTTTTTCTTCTTGGATAATTCAGAAAGGCCTAAGGAAAAAAGTGAGGAAAATCCATTCATAGAAACTTTTTTAGCCTGAAAAGGGTTCCTGCTCTGGGACACGCCTGCCAAACTCTCTGCACAGCCCAGACAGAGATATGACGGCCAGAATCAGCAAGGGGTGCTGTGTTTCACGTAGCTTTGTCATTTAGATTATTTGGGGGATAATATTACTCTTTGATTCTTTTATCTATTTTACGGAACCAAAAGCAACCAGAAAGGGAGAGAAGATGCTTTTCTAAGCAGTTTTGTGTGTGTGTGTGTGTGTGTGTGTGTGTGTGTGTGTGTGTGTGTGTGCTTTGTGTTTTGCTTTGTTTTGTTTTGTTTTTGTGCAGGGGATCAAAATCAGGACCTTGCGCTTGGGAGGCAGGCAGCGGCACCGCTGCACCAAATCCCGGCTTCTCCGCAGTTCTTGTTAATTCTTAAGAAGAAAAACGTCCCCTCCATTGCTAACCAGGAAAGGGAAACATCAAGTATGTTTGTTTCTTCTCAGATTCCTGTCTCTGGTCCTCATCAGCTTTGGAGAAGCTCAGCCCCAGCAGTCCCTCTCTGTGACCCCCGGACAAGTACTCTTTTCCTAGGCCCTTCCCTATCCTGTCTGTTTTCACAGGAAGCTGTTCTCCTGGGACATGGTGCTGGCTTCCTCTGAGCAAGGAAAGCTCAGTCCCTTCTCCCATAGGCAGTTAACTAAAATCAGCAGCTGCTGCTGCTGCTTCCTCCTCCTCTTCCTCCTCCTCCTCCTTCTTCCTTCTTCTTCTTCTTCTTCTTCTTCTTCTTCTTCTTCTTCTTCTTCTTCTTCTTCACCCTTCCCTATGTTTTCACAGGAAGCTGTTCTCCTGGGACATGGTGCTGGCTTCCTCTGAGCAAGGAAAGCTCAGTCCCTTCTCCCATAGGCAGTTAACTAAAATCAGCAGCTGCTGCTGCTGCTTCCTCCTTCCTCCT